CTGAGAATCAAAACAGATAAAATTGGTTTAGGGTGGTTACTAGGCTTGTGCAAAAAAATATGTGTGTGTATATATATTAGGCATGTGCAAAAGATTCGGAAGAGTCGGAATCCGTAAGAAAATTGGAAGTTTTGTAAGTCGGAAGCCGTTTCCGAAGCAATAACTTATACTGAAATATCGAAAGTGAAGCCATACTTTTTCGTTTTAGTTCTGTAAATCGCGGAAGGCTCCAATCAGATAGCGGAGAGAATGGTCTGTCCGTTCCTAAAACTTTCAAAATTTGGTTTCCCAAATATCCACAATTTTATTTCTATCTATGTATATAATAAAAGTCAGTGTTTGTAAGCGGAGGGAGGATGGTGTATGTGGCAGCTTTCTGATTGCCACTGTGACCAGCACGGGTGACCCACCTGGACCAAACATGGCACACATAACCCCCATTACCACCTTTACATCCTGGTGAGGTCTGGGGAAGGACAGACAATGGATTATGGGATTTGTAGTACTTTCAAACCCTTCGGTTCCCACAGACCACTCTGGCCTCCAACAAAGACTGATAAAGACTAAACATGGCACACAGAACCCCCATGACCCACTCTACAACCTACTGCAGTTTCGAAGAGGGTGGACCATGGATGATGGGACTTGAAGTACCTTCACTCACTTCCCAAGACCACTGCGATCCTCATTCAATGACTGATCAAGGCCAAACTTGGCACACAGAGCCCCCATGACCCACTCTACATCCTACTGCAGTTTCAAAGAGGGTGGACCATGGATGATGGGACTTACAATACCTTCATTCACTTCCTGTGACCACAGCAACACTCATCCAATTACCAATAAAGACCAAACTTGGCACAGAGAGACTCCATGGCCCACTCAACATTCTGGTGCAGTTTGTGGGAGGACAGAATATGGATAATGGGACTTGCAGTACCTTCACTCATTTTCTGAGACCACTGAGACCCTCATCCAATGACTGATCAAGGCCAAACTTGGCACACAGAGCCTCCATGACCCACTCTACATCCCACTGCAGTTTCAAAGAGGGTGGACCATGGATGATGGGACTTGAAGTACCTCCACTCACTTCCCGAGACTGCTGCAATCCTCATCCAATGACTGATAAAGACCAAACTTAGCACACATAACCCCCATGACCTACTTTACGTCCTGGTGAGGTTTGGGGAAAGACAGACAACGGATGGTGGGATTTTCAAATCCTTCGGTTCCTACAGACCATTGCGGCCCCCAACAAAGACCAATAAAGACCAAACTGGGAACGCAGAGCCCCCATGACCCACTCCAAATCCTACAACAGTTTGGAGGAGGGTGGACCATGGACGATGGGATTTGAAGTACCTCGGCTCAACTCCCAAGACAGCTACGACCCTCATCCAATGACTGATCAAGGCCAAACTTGGCACAAAGAGCTCCCATGACCCACTCTACATCCTGGTGCCGTTTGGAGGAGGATGGACCACGGATCATGGGACTTACAATACCTTCATTCACTTCCTGTGACCACAGCAGCACTCATCCAATTACCAATAAAGACCAAACTTGGCACAGAGAGTCCCCATGGCCAACTCAACATTCTGGTGCAGTTTGTGGGAGGACAGACTATGGATAATGGGACTTGCAGTACCTTCACTCATTTTCTGAGACCACTGCGACCCTCATCCAATGACTGATCAAGACCAAACTTGGCACACAGAGCCCCCATAACCCACTATACATCCTGGTGTAGTTTGGAGGAGGATGGACCACAGATGATAGGACTTGAAGTATCTTCACTAACTTCCTGAGACCACTGCAAGCTACATAAGTAACTAATAAAGACCAACCTTGGCACATAATGCTTTTCTCAATTAACCCGGGCAGTGCCGGGTCCCCAAGCTAGTTTAGAAATAAAGGTAGGCATTCAAAGAAAAGGAGAAGGCAAAGCAACCCAAGGAATGCAAATGCAGAAAATAGGTGGAGTTGTACATGATTTTCTGAGTCTCTGCAATGCTAGGAATTTTGGTAAGTGGATGAAAATGTGTTTTCCTAAATCAGTGTTTCTCAACCTGGGGGTCAGGACCCCTGAGGGGGTCGCGAAGGGGTGTCAGAGGGGTCGCCAAAGACCATCAGAAAACACAGTCATGGGGATTCCATATGGGAAGTGTGAGCCAATTCTATCGTTGGTGGAGTTCAGAATGTTCTTTGATTGTAATGAACTATACATCCCAGCAACTACAACTCCTAAAAGTCAAGGTCTATTTTCCCTAAGCTCCACCAGTTTTCACATTTGTTCACATATGGGAAGTGTGAGCCAATTCTATCGTTGGTGGAGTTCAGAATGTTCTTTGATTGTAATGAACTATAAATCCCAGCAACTACAACTCCTAAAAGTCAAGGTCTATTTTCCCCAAGCTCCACCAGTGTGCACATTTGTGCATATTGAGTATTTGTGCCAAGTTTGGTCCAGATCCACCATTGTGTGAGTCCACAGTGCTCTCTGGATATAGGTGACCTACACTCCCAAACTCAAGGTCAATACCCACCAAACCCAGTGTTTTCCGTTGGTCATGGGAGTTCTGTGTGGCAAATTAGGTTCAAATCCATCGCGGGTGGAGTTCAGAATGCTCTTTGATTATAGGTGAACTATAAATCCCAGCAACTACAACTCCCAAATTACAACCCCACTAGCATTTACATGTGGGTGCATTGGGTTTTTGTGCCCAGTTTGGTCCAGTGAATGAAAATACATCTTGCATATCTGAAAGGCTTGGGTGATCCAGTTTGTTAATTTCGTTATTCGTTATTGATTCGTATTTAAATTAGCTTACGATCCAATATCGAGCCACGCAGGAATAGTGTGAGGAGTAATTAAGAATCGAAACAATTTTTTCCAATTTTCGTAATTATTTCGTAATTATTTCGTAATTATTTCGTAATTATTTTCATATGTCTGGTGCATTATATTGTATATTATATTATATTACTATATTATATATTATATTACTATATTATTATTACATTATATTATAATTGTATATTATAATATAATATATAATATATTATAATAATAAAATATAATATAATAAATTATTATATTATAATATATATTATATTATAATAATAATATATAATATATAATATTATTATAATATAATATAATATATAATAATATAATATAATGTACAATAATATAATATAATATTATAATATAATATACAACAATATAATATAATATAATATAATATAATATAATATAATATAATAGAACAGAATAGAATATAGTTGTTGTTTGTTCTATCACACCAACAATCAACAACAGAGGGAGAGGGAAGCTTCAGAAGTTTCCCCCTGTCCCATTTGGAGGTTTTTTTTAGCATATTGCGCAATCGTGTCCGCCATTAACGAATCGATTCGTAATTTACGAAATTTCAGAAATTTCGAAATTTTAAAATCTTAAATTTCGGAATTCCTCAGAATTTCGAAACGCTAGCGCACACTAGAAAGGAAACGAGTTTAGAACCAATTTTTTTCTTGATCACCCAAGCCTAATATCTGATATTTACATTATGATTTACAACAGTAGTAAAATGACTGTTATGAAATAGCAACGAAAACAATATTATGGTTGGAGGTCACCACCACATGAGGGACTGTATTAAGGGGTCACGGCATTAGGAAGGTGGAGAACCACTGTCCTAAATGAAGAATGCCAACTAATAAAAGATTATTATTATTATTATTACTATTATTATTATCACAAACAACTGCAAAGACGCCATCTATTGAGATGCAGACAGCCCAAAATGCAATCAATTGGCCTCTTTTCTTCCTGGAGGGAACATAAAGGGTCAGGCATATGGAGAAGGGATGAGAAGGGTCCCTCGAGTCTGGATGGCATATGGCAATGTCCAGATGCAGAATGTAAACAATGGTTTTGCGATTAGCTCCTTCTTCCCAAAGCAACAGGCAGGGCTTCCCCGAGTTGTTGTTTTCGAAAAGGTATAAACAAAACTTTTACAGTAATAGCCCGTTTCCACTCGTGATTTTCACACCAGAGGGTTTGGGTGAGGATTAGTCAGCTAATTCTTTTCTATCGGTGACCCAATTGCTGGAAACAGATGGCAACTCAACAGGAGGAAAGGAAGGAGGAAGAAGAAAATGAAAACAGGAGAAGAAGATGAAGAGGAGAAGGACGACGATGATGTTCAGTCGCTTAACCAATTACAGATCCACCTAACAGCAGTATATCTTGGTTTCAGGAAGGCCTTCCTTTGACAAAGTCCCCCATGACCTTCTTGCAAAAAATTCAGAATTCGTAAGACCACCTTTTCCACCACACACCACACTATGTCCAAATAGTCCAGTATGATAAAGTTTATTAAAAGATGAGTATATAAAGAAATCAGTATCAAAATTCAAAAGCCGTTACAAAAGAAACTCATAAGTCCCAAATCCATTTAAAACACAGTCTTCATAATTAATCCATAAACATGATAACAGGAATCCAAGGCAGGCAGCCTAATCCACACAGGAACTCGAAACAGTAACAAACGTGAAAACTTGGATATATGAAACAAGACTTAAGAACAGAAACCAAGAGTTGTTTTCCCCTAGAATGCAACATTGCTCTCACAAAGGATTGTACCAGAAGAAATCGCTTAAGGGCCTCAATCCCTCCCATGACATCACTTCGCACACACCTGCTTTCCTTTTCCTTATGTCTAAGACATAAGAAAATCTAGTCTGTCTTTGTTTAACATGTTGCCTCTGGAGTTCCAGGCAACTTGATCTGGAAAAACATTCATCTCTCACATCCTTTTCAGACTGCAACTCCCTCAGATTCTCATGATAATCATAGAATCATAGAGTTGGAAAAGACCTCATAGGCCATCCATCTGACCAGGCTACAACGAAGGAGGATGAGAAGGAAAAGAAGAAGGGAAGAAAAGGAGGAAAGGAAGAGAGGAAGGAGGAGGAGGAGGAGGAGAGAGAAA